GGAAACCAGAACCTGTTGCAATTCACGGGGAGATCAAAGGATGATCCACGGTGGTGGAGATGATGGCGGAATTCGGCGACGATCTTTTAAGCAATTGTGGGAATTGCTTTGGGAGGTTGTGGAGGGCTGATGGATGGCAATGGAAGGGCAGCGAGATGCCAAAAACGCTGCTCTGATACCAGGTGTTAGAACCCTTGCAGATTCTAAACTTGGGGTTGATCTCTTTAGAGGATCGGCCTCCTTGGAACTCTATAGGGGTTCCTCCCTCCAAGTTGCTGCTCAAAGGCTGCAGAAAAGATTCATCTATTGCTTATGAAAAGAGAAGGAATACATGGCTATTTATAGGGCTTCTAAACCCTAACTCCTAATAGGACTCCTACTTAAGACTCTTACTTCTAACCAACTCCTAGTAGGACTCCTAGTCAAGACTCCTATTCCCTTACAACTCCTAATTCTTCTTTAAGAAAACACCTCTTACATGAATGTCCCTCTCAATTAGGACTCTCCTAGCTAGAGTCCTAACAGAATGTCCCTCTCAATTAGGACTCTCCTAGCTAGAGTCCTAACAGTTTTACATGAATGTCCCTCTCAATTAGGACTCTCCAAGCTAGAGTCCTAACAAAACTGAGTTCTCAACTCTCGCTTTAAGTCCTCCCATGTGTCCACCCGACACCAACCTTGTTGAATCTCTCCTCCCAGCGGGTTCGCCACCAAAGTTTTGCATCTCCATTCAAATACATGGTTGCTATAGAAACTTTGGTTTCTTCAAAATCAGGCCTCGTAGCTCGAAAGTATTGTTCCATGTCGAACAGGAAATTCTCGAGCTCTTTAGCATCTCTAGCACCTCCATAACAATGCGGCTCGGGTGCCCTTAAGTTTTGTAGCGGCGTAACGCAGGTGTTGCTTCCTCCCGCATTCAGTGCTCGTCAGCATGGTCACCCTGGAAGTGAGTTCCGCCACGACTTCTTGCAGATGTTGTACGAAGTCTTTAGTGTCATCTGACAGTCGATCAACTAGGGCCTCAACCTTGTCGATCCGGGATTCAGCTTCTTCTTACGAGCTCTCTACCCCAAGAAGCTTTCGTTGGCCATGGTAGAGTTCCTCCAAGCTCGCTTCAAGAACATCCAAGCGGGTTTCCGCCGCTGTGAGTCTCTCCTTATGACTCTTTTTCCTGGTTGGCGCTCCAGATTGCGCCTCCTCCGCTCGTGGAGAGTAGCCAACTTCTCGCTCATCATGTTCGCTGCCGCACTCCTCCTGACCGGCTCCAACAGCATGAGAGCGAGTATGCACTTGTAGCCCACCTACGGCTGCTTGGGGCAAGGGTCCAGCTTGCCCCGGCTTGCTTGATTCACCACGATGCTTTGCCATAGTGAAATTACAAAATTCCTTCGCTGCTCGCTCGAATTGCTTGCCCGCTCTGATACCACAATGTCACGAACTTAGCTGGAATTGCCTAAGTCGTGAGGCACCCTTGCGGCCAAGACGCGAACTTAGCTTGAGTTGCCTAAGTCGCGAAGCGCCCTTGCGCCAACTTCTCGGACTTAGCTAGGATTGCCTAAGTCATGACGCACCCTTGCAATATACGTCTGCAAAGGTCAGCAAATTTGCAACCTCACTCAGGTCCTTCGGGACCTGTAAAAGAGAAAGTTGATTAGTTCGAAGAACGAGCGACGGACAAGTCCCGACGCCTCGCGAAATGGGAAGCTTTACAAGCAATTCAGTGAGCACCTTGCGTGCACAAGAGAAAAGAGAGAAGGGAGGAAAACAAGGACTTTAGAAGGTTGAACGAATAGCTGCAAGTCCACAAACAGCTACTCACCGAGTGTCGGGCACGAAGACAAGTTCCCATCAAGTTAACGTGCGAACTTGTGAAAGATTGTTCAACGCCCAACAATATATCGAAGCCCCATCCCCCATGGTGCCACCCGGGTGGTTCCAAGGTGCTAAGATGGCTGACATTTCGCATGCAGCAGCGGGCTGCAGCAAACAACCTGTGGCACCCGAAAACGAAGCCATTTTGGGTTGTTTTGCTCGGTGTAGTGAGCAGTCGCACTGTAGCACTGCAACTTGTTCGAACTTACATTTTTTACAAGCAAAAGAACATAAAACCAAGCCAAAACATGCTGCCAAGCATCTGTACATGTAAACAAAAGCGGCGAACGGTTCGTTGAACGAAGTTGTTACGGGTGCTCGACGACCGTTCGTGACAATGCGTCGATTGTTCATGCAAATCCGAGTATATCGATGATGGCAAGACCGAAGGTTATACACTCGAGTCCATCCCACAGTCTAAAAGTTCGAGAAGAACTCATTCACCGTAAAGATCTAGGTGAAACAAGAGGTCATTAGCACTATCTTCGATCTCGGTGAGATTGGTCCAAAAGCTCAACCTAGAGATGACACCGCATCCACACTCATATCCTACAAGTTGCTTACATAAGAATGTGGAGATAAAGATCGACCGGCAATGCAAGATTCGCTTTGCAATAACCATTCAATAGATCGACGAGGCGACATACAAAGTAGTGTCTCATGACATATGTTAAGTCATCCTTGGAAAGCCCTACCTTTGGGATTGAGATGCTTATTTCTGTCAAGCACAAAAGTGTCAACTCTAGAAGGATGAAAGAAAGCTTCTCATCACACGAGATCCGATTAAATCAATGGTGGACTTGGCACCCAATGGCCAAGCAAAGAGGATGAAAAACGCTGGACGAAAGCACATGGCTCTGACTACAACATGGGGAAAATCAAAATCCTCCAACTGACAAAAGAGGAGAAATAGAGAGGGGCAACAACAAGCTTGCAACCTCAAGAAGTTGAAAAATAAAACCCTTAGATCGATGGTGATTGACAACAAGAACCCCACCAAGACAACACAAAAAGATGGCATAGTTAAACACGGCAACACCGACCATGATGATAAGCCAAACGAAATCCTCCAATGGCCCAAACTCGCAGATAGAGAGAAGAACCTCAAAATCATATTCATCATGAGTTGAATTGCCCAATTGGGGGATCCATAATCTAGGACAATCAAGCTGAGTACTAGCTAAACTCCAATTCAGCTCGACCGGGATTCGAGTCGATTTCAAATCGATCTTGATCGAACCGAAGCAAGCTTAAGCTCAAATTTGAGCTCACGGACCAAATCAAACATAGCTCAGACTACTCAAGTTTTGCTCAAACCAAGTTCCAATCGAAGTCCAATTCAACTCAACTAGAGTTCGAGTCAAACTCCAAGTTAAATCCAATCTGGCCGAACCCAATGCAAGCCCAATCTCAAGCTTCGGATCAAGTTGTAGTCAGACCAACATCAACTCCACTTGCAGCAAACCCAATCTGATGCCCACTCGAATCAAGAGAAGGATATGCGATCAACCTAGAGAACCAACCTTCCTCAATCTGATACCTATTTCGATTGAAGGACTTGCATAGCCAATAAGAGGGAGAACTAAGAGGCACTGGCCTGGAGAAATGAGAATCCTATCCTAGTTGCCAATAAGAGGGAGAGCTAAGGGACGTCGACCTGGAGAAGAGAGAGTCCTATCTTGGGGGCGCTAGAGAACAGAGAGTCCTACCCTAGTTAAGAACTTGTGTTGCTAGAGTTTCATGTTATAAAATAATGGCTGAATGTCCATGCCATAACAAAATTAATAAAAAATTCTCTAAAAGAGAAATACTCATGAAAAAAACATGATAGGGAATGACGGTAGACATAATTAAGCCAGCAAAAGGGAGCATAACAAAGGAACATGAACCATATTTAATAAAAACATGTGACAAATTACAAACCTCTGAATAACCTCGGAACCATCACCATAACCATCATATCCTGAATCAGGCAAATCCAATGATTATTAATTAACAAAAGCATAAGACTTTAAAGAATGCTATTATACATCAAATAATTATTTTACATCATCAGGATGGCAATATGCATTACTAAAAGTATCTTGACATAACCAACTAAATCATTTTGCTTTAACTCAAGACAACGTTTATTAATTAACAAAACCATAAGACTTTAAAGAATGCTAATACATCAAATAATTATTTTACATCATCAGAATGGCAATATGCATTACTAAAAGTATCTTGACATAACCAACTAAATCATTTTGCTTTAACTCAAGACAACTTTAACCAGTAACTACTTTATTATTTTGCTTCAGTACTTTTAACAAAGGCACAAGCATGAGAACTGACATTAAAAGATCCTTCAATATGGCAATCATTTCCACCTAGATTAGATGAGTGGATTGATAAGGTTGCAATCCAGGCAATTTGGCACGTTACATCATCCACATGGATAAAAGCTGCATCCTACTAAGAAATTTGTTAGTATGATAACATACAGCCCAGGAAGAATGCTGGTCTCTTTGCAGTACAGACACATGCCCACTAGAAATTAGATGCTTTCTTCCCCTCTGTTAGAAGGTATTATGTGAGAAATTGTGGGAGAGATCCTACCATATCGCACTAGGTTCCAACATGGAAACCTCATACTGACATTGGCACTCCTCCAGTCATCTTTCCTGTAAATAGATGGGACAACATTCAGCATTTAAATGGTGGACTCTTCTCTCATACTCACAACTCTTTCTACAACCCCCACCACAAGATTGTCCAGATCCCTTTCAATGTTCTAGCAATTTCAAAAGTCATCCCCTGGCTGTAAGAACACACTTTGGCACACAAAATAAGCAAATAAAATTGCATTCAGCTCTGGACTACTAATTCTTGTACAGTTGGAATTTCCTCCCAGTTTTTTTATAAAACAACCTTCTCATTCACTAATATTGAATGTCTATCAATGAGCGAGGGGGAGTCTGCTGTCTGAAATTGAAAATGCCTGCAAGTAACAGTCACAGGTAAACGCACAAATGCAAGCATAATAGCAGGCGCAGCTATTTGGACACCTGAATGTAGAGTTGCTAGCTGCAATTGCAACAAAGGTAGAGGAGGGGTCGGCCAATGCCCAAAGGGGAAGGAGGTGATAACTATGCAGACTAAAGTGGTGGAAGAGTAGGTGTGTACAAAGGCAACACATGAGAAAGGATATCCAAAACCAACTATGACTTGCAATATAAGATGCAAGAAATATGCAGAGTATGCATGAGTAAGATATCGATAATTAGCAAACTAGAACCTACAAGGTCATCTCAGTATGAATTTCATATATGCTGACAGAAGGACCTATATCACACATAAGGAATGAAGCACTTCTCTCATTCAGGTCAGGTGTGCACGGAATCAGGAATTCTCACTATGTAACTGGAAGAGTTTGCAAGCATAGTAATTTTCAGCGTATCTCTGTATCTGAACGATTTTTATATTAATTGAAGTCCACAAGCGGCTAGAAAGAGTGCTGACTTCACAATTACCTGATGGATGATTCATATAGCGACCGTGAGGCCTCTCATCCCCATACCCACCTCTGCTTCCTGAGCCACCTCGATCGTACCCACCACCATAATCATAACCATACCTGGAATTATAAGCAAATAGCATCAACTTAACAGAGCCATTAAACAGGCAATCCCACTATAGATGAAAAAAATTGTTCTCGCTGGAGTTCATATTTTGATATTGAAGGACCAGATTTCTTGCCCACCTTCTGCCATCCGGTCCATAACCCCCTCTCGGGCTACCTCGGCGCCGCTCATATCCACCATCATCCCTCCTTGCTCGCTTAAAGGATCCGGGGGGAGGGGATCGGCGAGGAGGCGAATGCCGTCGGTCACGGTACGGTGGCGGGCTACGACTACCCCTCCTGCGATACTCCCGATCCCTGTCGTCCCGCGGCTGCCCCAGCGGCGGGGGCGGGGGAAGCGACGGCGAGCGGGCCCTATATTCGTCCCTCTTCTCCGTCATATCCCTGTCCCGCCTCTTCGGAGGCCGGGCCGGCGATGAGGGGGATCCGCCGCCGTGGCTCTCCTGCCGCTGCGGCTGGATATCAAGGCCACGATCAAGGGTTTCGGTGGGCATATCGATGACGTCCGCCATGAAGATGGTGATAGAAAAGATCCAGAAACCGTAGCAATCGATCTGAGCGGTAACCCTAGAAAAAACGAGGGGGGAGGAGTTCGGGATGAAAGAAATGGTGGAGGAGATTTAAGCCAAACTCGACACATGCATATATGACCCCTTAGGTTATGAATATTACAAATACACTCTTTTAAGTTTTATATATATATATATATATATATATATATATATATATATATCAAATAGTTTTTAATATGCTTGATTTTATTTAGCTCACTTACCGTATTTTTTTAATAACACTATAATATTTTTATTAATGTACTGAAAATATTTTTGAAGTAGATTTTATAATATTTTCAAATAATTTTTACAGTATTTTCACCAAACTATGGACCGTTGGCTCATAGGGGTGTTTGTGGTGGGAATAGTACATTTGCACCACAGTGAGAGATATTTGAGGTATTATCTGAAACAGGAGAATCGAAAATTGAAAATAGGTCATCTTATTAGGAAAAAAAAGGCAAAAATGAGAACTTAAATCATTAATAACGCTTGGCTTAAACCTGCTTCCACTGGAGAGCTTAAACATGAAAATTAATCGGATTTACTAAGTGGTAATGTAACCGTAACAATTAATAATGCTTAGCTTAAACCGGCCACTAGTGTGAGCATGGCAGTAATATATCATTACTTTAACATAATTCTTTATATATTACATAATTAATGAACTATTGTGAACATCTTAATGAGAAAGATGTTTAACTATTTCATTTTTATGTTCTTAAATTCCAAATTTGACAAGCATATACAAATCCCACTTAAATATAATCATAAACGAGATGCAACTTGTGAGTAATTCTATTATTATTATTATTTCCTATGCTTTGATGTTTATGTTTGAGGAAGTTACCGATAAACAATAAATATACCGGGGGCTAATTAAAAATTATTATTATCTCATGTATTTAAACCTTATAGTATCTCGGTATTTAAACTTTAAATTTTTTTTATTAAAATCTTTATAATTATTAAAGTAAAATATTTAATCATATTTACTAAAATATCGTTCAGCTTTACCGACGAAAGAGATAGCATGTGTAAAAATGATACGAAAATGATAGATTAAAAAAATAATTTCAACGTCCTAGTTATGTTTTATTTTGTTATGCCCTAATTAAAACTTCTTAGTTAATTATTGTGATAATGGTGGACGACGATGCTGCCAAGGGTCGTGGGTAATTATTGTGGTGATAGTTGATCTTGTTGATATTGATTCGAATATCAATGATCAAAGCGAGAGCAGTGAGACAGTTTGATGATGATAGTGGTGGATCTTAGGAATATGAGAAAGAAGATGAAAGAGAGCGATAACGAGAGATAAGACAAACAGAGAGGAGAAAAAGGATAAGGTTGATAATGTCACAAGAGATAGCATCGGCATGACTATTGTCCTCATGACATTATCATCACACAAGAGAGGGGGAGGAAGAGGAGGGTGAGCAGCAACAATGCTATCTCTGGCTTTTGTAGTTTTTTACGGGGGGAGGAGGAGGAAAGGGAGAGAGATTGCGATAACATTATCTCCAACTTCAACAGTTTCTTACGAGGGGTGTATGAGGAAGAGGAAGGAGAGTGATAACGAGAAAAGAGGTAAAGGAAGAGGAGATAGCTACTCTCCCTCCTCTTCTTCCTCCCACCACAAGAGGAGGGAGAGTGATTATGGGAGATGAGGTAAAGAGAAAGGAGGAAGAGAATTAGGATGATAGTGTCACAAGAGATAGTATTAGTGTAATCATCATCCTTGTGACATTATCATCCCACAGATGGAGGAGGAGGAAGAGGAGGGACTGCAACGACAACACTATCTCCAGCTTTTATGGCTTCTTGCGAAAGGAAGAGGAGGTAGAGTAGCTATCTTCTCTCTCTTTGTCTCACCTCCCGTCATCGCTCTCCCTATTCTTCCTCTTCCTCTCCCGACAAAAAATTGCAGAAGCCGAAGGTAGCATCGTCGTCGCTCTCTCTCCTCTTGTTGGGCAAGGAGGAAGAGCTGCTATCTTCTCTCCCTTTGCCTCACCTCTCGTTGTCGCTCTCCATCATCTTCTTTCTCCTCCCCTCGCAAAAAGCTACAAAAGCCAAAGATAGCATCTCCATTGCTCTCCCTCCTCTTGCGAGGGTAGGAGGAAGAGAAGGGAGAGCAGTTGTCTCATCTCCTTTTGCCTTACCTCTCGCCATCACTCTCTCTCCTCCTCTCCCCATCGTCGTTGCTCACCCTCCTCTTCCTCCTCTCTTATGGGATAATAGTGTCACAAGGATGATGGCTGCACCGATGCTATCTCTCATAACATATTATCCATGTCCTCTTCCTCTTCTTATTTTGTCTCACCTCCCGTCATCGTTTTCTTTCTTCTTCATTCTCACGTCTCCAAGATCCACCACAATCACCATCAAACTACTATCATTGTCATGATCGTCACTCTCATCTCACGGAGTCATAGATGTTTGAATCAATATCAACAAGATCAACCACCATCACAATAGTCACCTATGATCCTTAATAACGTCACCATCTGTCATAATTACGATAATCAATTTGTCATAATTAGGATAATCAACTAAGAAGTTTTAATTATGATATAATAAAAGTAAATATAACTAGGATGTTGAAATTATTTTTTTACTTATTATTTTGTATCATTTGGTTGTAATAAAATCGATGATATTAGGATAAACAATATTAAATATTTCACAAAAATGTCAATATGAATGTTTTTTAACACGCTGTTTTGCCTCACGCCCAGCAGTGGCTCCCACAGCGGAGCGGAGGGGTCCCATCTTACGGGAAGACATGAGATTAAATGACAGGCAATCTGTAATTAGCCCCATGTAACGAAGGGTTCAAAAATTTACTCGCCCATTGGCGGTGGCTCCCACAGCGGAAGGGTCCCATTTTAGGGGAAGACATAAGATTAAATGGCTGAACCGTGACCGGAAGGTGACAGGTGATCCAGAAATTTTTTTTCCAGCTGCTGCTTTTGCCTCACGCGGACGGGCCTCGGGCAATTGACCCCATCACGCGGCCTCAGAGCACCGACGACCATTCTCCCCCGCTTGCGCTTTCTAAAAATACATATGGAGAGTCCACCCTTACCTGGATCCTGTCCCGACTCTTTGATCTCCCGTCTGCCAAGCTTGTGAAAAACTTCAGATGTGAGTCTGACCTCCACGAAGCATACACCTGCAAACCTGTGAAACCTCGGCAAGCTCTTATCTGAAAAGCCATGAACAAGCTCTTTACCATGTCTGCGTGAGTAGTAATCGATCATACCAATCCTAAATGTTTCAGATCAAGTGCCATGAACCCCATTTCTGATTTCGAAAAAGGTCCTACCAAGATCATGTTCTCATAAACCATTTTACAGCATATCGGAACTGAAACAAATTCTTTATTTTGGAGAAAAGCAGATACATCTTCCAGATCCCTATTTCTCATCACTCTAGTCACAGACAAAGGAATCTTCATTTATCGTGCCACGCTGGGTCATAGACGACACCGGTGATGGAAATGCAGAGTGCTCAGCTTTTACCAAGGCGACCTCGATTTGATTTGTAGCCCTTAATAATCTTCTGCAGTGCTCTTTTGGCTTCCTCCAGAGTCTCGATCGAGTGTTCCACCTCGAACGATAGTCGTTGAATATTGAACTGTATGGTCAAGATAAGGTCTACGAAGATTATGGAACATAAAGAAAACAATATACATTAAAAAACATCGGCATATTGTGTAGCCAAAAAGAGTTGGACAACCCAATCAGTTTATTTTGATTGACAGATAAACAAACTCTTTTTCAGAAACTGTCTATTGGAGACTACCAGCATTTATAATGACACCACTCTCAGACTATCTTCCAGGATTATATTTGCAAGCAAATAACAACCAGTTCCACTAGCAAACCAGAAAAGAAAAAATTGTAAAATAACACTTCATAGCTCTTAGCCTTACTAGTTAGCCAACCTTACTTTGAGGCCCATTCACACATTTCAATCAAATCTACATCCTATGCTAAGATCAAGAGAATGACTATCTTTCTCCTAAACGGCATAATAAGGTTTAATATCTTGGCCCAATATTAGTTTCGACACCTTATCGGCTGATGGGGTACTGATGTATTAAGTGGTAACAACCTGTACCACTAGTTATGGCTGAAAACAAATAAAATAAAAAAGAATGCCGATTGGTACCAATACCAAGTACAGGTCCTTGGTTGAATTAATAATACTTGAGTGGTATTTAAAACACTGCAAGCCAACCATAATATGAAAAATTTCTAATCCAAATATGAGACTCATAATCCACCAATTTTCGGTGTTATATATTTGCTATGCTTTGTCAAACTATCTATAGTATCATATAGAAAAGTGGATCACATCATTTAAAATTTTATATATATTAAAAAAAAGCACAATCCTTATTAAGCAACCTGACATACTATAAAACCATCCACTTAAATTATTTCTCATTTCTGGTGTTTCCCTTCCGAAACTCAAAAATTTCTTTACATATCCACCATCTTATTCTCTAATAATGTTGCACACAGATAAATGGGGACTTAAAGCTAATATATAAAACAGTTCATTCTAAAATTCACTACTTTGAAGTACATAGAAACACAAATTAGACTCCTCTATTAAACATATGTAAACTAATCCAAACCCTAGAACTATCCATATTCTCAGTACCCCTCTCAATCAATGACAACATTCACATATGTGCACACTTTTGGGAGGAGAAACCTGGATATCCCTCAGTGATCAAAGTCAATAATTTTTCAATAATTTATGATTTTATCCCAACCCCTTATCTGCATACAACCCCTTCAATTTATCAAGACAAAAGCCTTTCAGTTGACTATAACACTAGCCTTTAATTCCTTTCATAACCTAGACCATAGTTCTGATTTTTGACATTCCTAAACAAAATTCAGCCCATGTTCATCAATTATAATACCGAGTTCCTCTCTAACTTTTTCCCCTACTTTGAAGCCCCTTCACCAAAAAAAAAGACACACACACACATACATATGTATGTATGTGTGTATAGACAGTGAGATTGGCAAATATTGAATTACTAGACGGCTTAAGCCCAACAGAGTTTTCTGTAATGAAGTTCCTAAGGTTCAATACATCCCTGACTACAAGATTATCAAAAAGAATTTCTCCTTGGCTGGATCAACTAACATCCTTCATTGAGTTTTAAATAAGTCATATATACATGAAGGACAATCAAATAACTTACAACAATAATAGTTCTGGAAATTTTAAATGCAACAACAGACCTTATTAAAACATAAATAATGCTATTTGCAAAACCAAGTTCACTAGAAGAATTGAAACCATAAGGGAAATGTATATAACACAGTCTATATCACCTGTTTTCCATACCTGTGCACCCTGACGAACTCGTATATCAATGCCTTTGCTATCTATGGATATGAGAGCTGCATCATCTATCTCCGCTTCCATTGACAAGAGTTCTTTTAGTGGTTTTGAGAAGTTTGCATTTAGTTCCTACGGCAGATGCATGTTCATAGCATAAGCAAACAAAAGCACATAGCAAGCCAAGTTTGCAAATGTTTGCATGCAACCTTCAAAATTATGCTACCATAGATGTACACACACAAGAATTTGATGTATTGAAATTTGCATCACATGTTTACTTTTAAATTTTGCTCTCCGCCATCAGCTGCAATCTTGTCAGGCTGGGTGGCCTCATATTCCTTGACGTTGACCCATGCAACAGTCCCAAATCCTCCAATAAAATAGATGTCACTGATAATCCAGGTAATGGTAAATATCATGAGCAGGAATAAATGACTTGATGCAGAATATCTTTCAAAACATATATACTTCAGAATAAGTTGAAACAAAACATAAACATGAATAAGTAATTAAAAGAAGCTTTCAGACAACATGATGCTTCCAAACTCTGACATTTTGTATCTGTACATAACATTGATTAGAAAATGCACCATATATATCAAACAACAGCGAAAGCAAATTGAAGCAGCAGATGAATGTTGATTGCTGATTCTCCATAATTCCCTTCTCATGGTTAAGCTTAAAATGCCAAACTACAATAGGAACATGTTCTGGTTGAGATGCATATACCACCATCAATCCTAAATATCAAATCTACTAAATCACCAAGCGTCACCATGCAGTTAATTGATTAATGATTCTGCAGAATCTGTACACAATTCTCTGCTCTCTTCAAACAAAATCAAATACCATTTTTGTTACAGCCCTTAATCATTTTCTCCTTCAAAGCAACAAAATTATTCTATAAAAAGATTTTTTCTGCAACCCTTGACATGTTATGATAACTCATACTGGAGGAATCTCTTCTCCTGTTTGGAAATTAGAGCCGCATGTCCATTTAGTCGGGAAAGGATTTTAAATCCCTGGAAAATCAAGTAGCCAACTGAAAATGCAGAGTGGCAGAATTTCACATCCTTTATTTTTAGGAATCAAATGCCACAAGATAAACTAGCATGGTGTAATTACTTTAATATTTTAACAGATCTTCTGGATCCAGTAGTAATATGTCTGTGTATTTCAGTATTACAATATAAAACTAAAGTTCAATCTTTTTTTTTTGGTGTATACCAACTTTACTTTTTTGCATTACCCATGATATATTACTAGGGTAACACAAAGACAAAACTCCAGCAAGGGATGTTTAAAGTTAACTTTGAAAGGATGAAGATTCAGGGGCAAACCTAATACTCTGCATCCTGTAGTAGTAGAAGTTTCCCCACTGATGCGATGACCATTGTTGGTGTTTGGCCATGTACTGCTGACGAGCCCATTCCTACAGTGGATGAAGAAATTATTCTGAGATCGACTATGCAATATTCATCATAAAATATATTCAGGGTTAACAGAAACAAGTTTTCTTTCAAACTTAGTAGATGATTCAAATTCCAAGTAAAGCAAAAGATCAGAAATATCATACACAAGAAAGTTGTAAGACACAAGCTCAGGATGCGGCAATCGACTATTGCAAGTATAACATAGAGGAGCTCTCAGAATAGAAAGTTGGAAATCACATAAGCTCAAAGGTCCCAGCGATTCCATATGTCTGGAGAAGAGATCATGTAAAAGTAGTAAAACTTAAAAAGGAAAACCCAGTGATATATTCATTATCATATCATCTCAACCCAAATATATAATCAATCAATACCAAATAGTCATGACCTCATAGAATCTGAATTAATTAGCATCAAAAAATTATTAACTAAATGAAGTCTCACAATCCATGAGCCTTTCAACCTTAGGTTGTAATACAACTAGCAAGGTAAATTCTAGAGGCATGGAGATAGGTACCATGTTCTTGTAGACGCACGTTATAAGAATCTTAAAAGAAAATACTTCAAAATATCCATGTGCATGCACACACATATGTAAAGTTGAAAGCACACAGGTCCAGAGCTACATCCCAGAAAAGCTTAATTAAAACAGATGTGGGAAATATGAACATTCCATTTTCTACCAACATGTCAAGAACTAGATGAATGAACATCTTTATTACATAATATCATGTTGAATGTGTGATTTTAGGAAGTTTACCATGAACTGAACTCAAACGTTCATAGAAAACTAAACAATCCACCATAGGGATAAGATGCCTTCAATAATTACCTTAGAATATGATAAGCTTTTAATGACCTTAAAAATGATCCAAGACCATGGCCTACCGCTGCAAACAAATTTGACCAGGGATATTCATATTTCTTGAGAATATCATGTCTTAATTTGTCAACTATTTTGTGCTTGAAATAGTATAGAGAAAATAGATGCAACTAATATAAATCAGTTCAATCACTTAGGGAGATAGGAAGCAACTTAGAGAGTAAGCATGGCTTAGGAACCTGTTGATCAGCTGGGAGGGGCACAATATCACCAAAAATTGTCACACGTGCATTTGACAATCCACTCCATCCAGGTATCTGTAGTTAAAGCAAGCAATAGCATGAATAAATAAAGGAAAGTCCTTGAAGATAATTTAAACCAAGATTTGTCATATCACGACATACCGCCCGATATGAGCGATACATACTGGTCTGACAAGAGACCAGTATGGACGGTAAATACCAGTCTGTCGGTATGTTCCACCATATCATGTATCGGTACATTGGTACAGATCGATATGCACCAACCATGCCAATGGCCGATCGATATATTGATACAGACCAGTAACACGAACCATGATTTAAATAATGAATAATCAGTATTGTCATACTTGTACTACAAGAGTGCATCTTGGATCTGCCAAAAGATTCCGTGTATGAATAGCCAATGGTGAAAGCGAAAAGATTGGGTCTGCACAAAATGGTAATGGATGGCATGTTTGGAACTATTTGAAATTAATTTACATATGCACAGTAAAAAGATGGTAACTTACGGCCCATTGAATCTGGTGCAAAGTCAACTAGTGAACCAAATGGGTATCCTGCACGACGATGATGCATCTGGGACATGACGGTGCATAAATGAGCAAACCTAGCCTGGTATTTAGTCAATAAATCAGAAAAAAAATATACAAATTTAAAAAATTCCACTCATAGATCAAAAGAAATCAACTAATCTTAGACAAATAAATTACAGGATAGTCAGTCAAATATTAAAAGCCTCATTAGATCGCATGTAGTGGCAACTAGCCTCACCTGCTCCATTAGATTGCGAACAGCCAAGGCTGGAGAAGGTAAATCATGAGTGGAAGTTGCAGTTTGTACACCACCTGAAATCGGTGTTCTGAAAAGCCCAGACCTAGACCCACTTGATCCACTTCCTCCAGCGATAGGTCTTACCATGTCCAGGTTTTCTGATACACCCATCTCATGGCTACCACCGAGGTCTAAATCTCTCTTCAAGTGAATAACAAGAACAATCAGAATGATTATTTATTTAAATAATGACCCAGTTGTTCATTAAGCAGAGAAGTCGAAGATATCTATGATATGGATGCTGCAAGCTTACAAATATATCAGAAAACATTTTTAAATATGCAGATTGCCAATTTTTCATAAATCGCCTCTTTCCTATATCTAAATTTCATCCTAATCAACTCTAATATACACCAAGGGAGAATTCAATAAAACCAAAAATTGGATCCATATTGGATGTAGACAACACAAGCTGCAAAAAGGGATATAAATAAAAGTATTATTGTATTTCTTATGGCTTAAACTTTTAAAAAGAATAGCAAATATTTGATTGGAGATCTATTCAAGCAAGAAGAAACTGTTTGGACTAAGTTTGTAAGAGGTATGCAATAGGATGATAGTTTGGCAAATAGAAAAGTTAAAGTTTTCATAGTTGAATGCCTTATAAGCAAGCCATGAGATTACAGATTTATACAATATGGAGTTACGACTAGAAGGTTCAAGTATGCAACATTTCACTAGAGAACACAATAGCTGCTTTGCTCTTCTACGATTTTCTTTCAGACTTCAGAGTATCCAAGAAGTTGCAAAGCTAAATAAATGGATGCTGTCGACGAACTATTTGAAGATTAATAAGCTGTTAAGAAGTAGATTGTTCCTCCATAAAGAGGTTTGACTTCTATTTTTTAGCCAAGCCACCAACCAGAGAAGGACTGCCTCCCATCAGTCAGTGGTGTAGGCCCCATGAAAGATCACTAACTTTACACATCGGCACCCTAGCCAATAGTTCAGCAGGCAGGCCAAGAGTGCTACAAACCAATTGGAAGGCACCCTAACATGGTTGGTGGTTCTCTTGATACAGGTGTGTTGGACCATTTAATGGCCTACAGCAACAGAAAAAAATTAAAATGTCATATATCAACCTTTCAAATGCGGACCAACTTCACAATTCACCGGATTAACCAATCATGATCCAGATATTCCAATAGAGATTGTGTCCATCCTGCAACTATATCGACACCTAAACAAGAAGGGTAACTGGATATGAGAAATTATTAAATTTAGCAAGCAATTGGCCAATAGTTTTTTCATTGTGTTGTTTGATTTCTGTTACATTTGGTTTCTAGCTGGTTCAGTCAAGCTTTTTAGCAGTTTTGGCTGATACATGATAAATTTTATTGGTCCTGGTGGTACCTAAGTAGTTCCAATTGATCTGGGATATGACTTAGCTGATTTTATGAAGGTCTTAGTTGGTCTCAAACAGATACCAACTGAATCCAAGTGGTTTTACGAAGATCTGATCAGTTTTGATCTTGTTCCCAAATCCAACAATCAATAACAAAAATAAATAGGATTTTGCAAATTTGACCAAGATGGTCGCTGAAGTTGTATGCACACTAAACAAGAAAGTAACTAATCAATCTCAAATGCACTCATCAAAGGGGTGATCATCTTAAATCTTGGACATCTTATGCAAAAGAATAAGCTAGATGTTGCAAGAGTTGGTAACTTTTGTGCACTTTGAGATGTGAAATTGAAAGATGAAGATAAACGTAGCAATCCCATTGTAACACCCCCCACTTTAGTGTCATATAAAAAGTGGAAAAAAATTTCAGTTAATTCATAAAGACTTGATGGGTGTACTATCAAGAACTTTGACTTAAGCAATTCCAAGTCAGTAGTTTAAACTCAACAAATTAATGTGTCAATTATCCATCTCAAACAGCCAATGATTTTTGTGAGATTATATTCAAGATAAAAAACCGATCAGCGTCAAACTTGACTTGGCAGGATAGCTGACCAAGAAAAGAGCCAATCTACCAGCACAGATGCCAAAAGCAAATGGAATTTTTCGGTATCGGAGTCAAGATGCGATTGATTGTAACGTAACTTCACAACTGTACCAAGAAGGAACAAAAGTATTATACAACACTAAAAGATCAAATCTTGATGACAAGAGTACCTCGATCAAGGGACCACCCTCGGCGGGGAGGAACCCAGAGCCACGACCCACCGCTTCATCTCCTCCTTCGCTGTTCCCGGAAACATCACCGGCGAGGGCTCGAAGCCTCGGGGAACACTTCAGGGCATCGGACTGACAGATCGAGAGCCGCAGAACATATGGATTCTCTTGTGTTCGTAGGATCCCACGGCGGAAGGGCGAGACCTTGAAAAAGAGAGAAACCGGGTACTGGCGCGGGGGACAGGTCTCGGCGAGCCCGGAGGGCAAGATGGTGTTCGATAGCGTTTCCATCGAAAAGAAAGATGAAACAGCAGATCACTCCAATATTAAGATGGAAAGGAAGGAAAAGCAAGAGGGGAAGAGGAGGCGGCCGATGGGAGCAGTCGGGAAGGAGATGAGATGGCCGGGGGAGATGGCGACTTCACTGCGCTGAGTGGGCGTTTCGTGCACTGAATGTAATGGACTGGATATTGCTTGCCTCATCTCCGCGGTTGGTAGAAGATTAGCTGGATCGTCCCAAACACCAAATACCATTGTTTTCCTTGGACAAATTTCGAATGAACTCGCGTCTTATAACAATTTTAACGTTTTTAAGATTAATTGTTTAAAATAATTAAGAGTATAATATACTTTTATTTTTTTTAAAAAAAATAATTATCATTATCAAACACTATCGATCATAGTTATTAAACTCGAAAAAATGTTTTTCTCGATATGATTCAATCTAAAAAATTAAGAATTTTATTTTTTTCGACGCCGTTTATTAATTGGATTGTTTTGAATCTAGTTTTATCTTTTTTCTTAAAAAATAAAATATTTTTTTGAATGCGTTATCCAATCCCTCTCTTTAATTATGTCATGTTATAACTCATCATTATTTCCTCACTTTCATTGTTTATTTGTCTCATAATCATTAATTTGAAATCATCTTCAATTTTGCAACCATTCTCTCTCTCTCTCTCTCTCTCTCTCTCTCTCAGTTTAATATGTTTTCATGGTTGGTGTTCATAATCCATGATTAGTAGCAGAAGCAAACAAACAGCCAGATGCCAAAGAAACCCTCGGTATCTGATCTGAATAAAAATCTTAAATCAAAGTTCATATATTGTTGCTTAAGAAACATCTGCTATGCTTTCTTTCCAACACGGATAGAGTTGCTACTCCCATCAAACATCATATGCCCGGTTGCGGATCGACTACTTTCTTCTGCCACACATCTGCCTTCAGTGTGCAAAGATTGCGATTTGTAGATGGGGACTGACAGTGACCCAGTTTCCCTTCTTATCAGTATTGCAAGTACCTTTCTATGAACTAATATCTTCATAGAAAAGAAGAAAGTCTTGTGTGAATCATAGCCATAAAATTGGATCCGAGAGATGAGATAGACTGAAAAATCAGGAATTAGACTCTTGGCCGATTTGATCCAGACAAGCTAGATAACCAGATTGAATTTAGTTTAACCGATCGATTTTCCACGAACTGAAAGAATCAACTGATCCAATTGATGTAAATTGTTCTAAAAAGGAAGCTTTGTTGAGATCTCACTGTAGGTTCTGCCTCGAATGATTGGCAACTTTATAGAGGTTTTTTTGTTTCTATCCGTCAGCCAAAAGTTGATAGATCGTCCTCTCATTATGGCATCAACTCTCTGTGCATCTGTAGGTGAAAGGAATAATGTTGAAGATGATCGAGAAAGCAGTGCTGTACCCTCTGCCTAATAGTGTCCTCAACCCATATAATTATCATGTCGACGACAAACACAGAAGCATTCACTACTTCTGTGTTTAAGAAACAGACTTTTGACAAGACTGAAAGCTCAGCTTTTGCAGTTGCAGACAAGTGACAATGGATTCCACTTACTGGAGCTGATGTCTTGAGTTGAGCTACTTCAACTCAAGACACTGATGAAGCCTCATAGTTTCAGATGAGCATTCACTGCCATTTAATGCTAAATTGAAGAAGAGAAGAAACTTGGTGATGGTGGCATTGAATTGCCGCAAATGTGTAAGCTCAAGTTAATATCTTGGTGATGCTAAAGTGAAGGATATGACACCCTTCACATCCCTAAAAACTTTGGTAGAAGAACATGTGAAATGGTGGAGATTCCATGGTGTATTTATTTGTCTTGTGTCAGCTGTCACCTGCAATTTTCACATGGAAGAACAAGGAATAAGTCGAGTTGCATCGTAACGGTTATCATGCAATACGCATTAACATGGAGTCCGACATAATTTATATCGGCCGTTATTATGTCGGTGAAGAGTCCGAACGATGAAACTGACAAGTTTATACCGGTTATTCTCGGGTGGTGCAATTATATCGGACGTTATCATCTTTGTGAAGCGACCGCAGAACCGCCACCGCTCGAGGAATGATGACACCCACCTATCTCGCCTCTTTTCTCCTGCCACTCTCTCTCTCTGTCTCTACAGTACTGTGTCGTGGGCCCCAGTCGTCTCCCAGTGTATGTGAACTATGACAAGGAAGAGGACGGCAACGGAACCACCTCGAATTCCTTCGCGTCCTCCCCGTACTATTATTTCTTGGAGTCTCTCGGCTTCTCCCTCTCCGCGCTGCCGGATCGCAAAGTTCAAGCCTTTCTTCCGGCACTCACTGCCCCTCTGCTTCGGCGCTTCTTCGTGACCAATCTTTCTACTCCATTCGAGTGTTCAGTTGGTGGTCGTTCGCCCTCCCAACCCCCACACCCTGCTGTGCCCCTGCGGTTTGCGTTCACTTTTTGACCCGCTTTGGATCCGTTTTCTTCGCTTTCATCCCCGAATAGGACGGTTTCCTCGGGTCACCAGGGAAAGATCTCGTCTTTCCTCTCGCTGATGCCGCGGTGGGCGCTCCGAAGGATCACTCCTTTCCGCGACGTGCGCGGGAATCCACCACCGATGCCCCACTTGCTTCTTTGAACAAAACTACGTTTTTCTCGGCCAGGCATTCCCGTTTCCTTGGGTTTGGCGTTGATTCTGAGGAAAGGTGGCGTCTTGCAATCTTCTTTCTCCATTCGAATTTTCTCTTCTCAACCTGTTTCTTTGTTGGCCGATTTAGGTCGGTCTATATATATTCTTGGCGTGATAAACCTTGATTTCTTCTTTCTTTTTTGCCTGTTTGCGTCGTGATTTTGTTGGAGTCCAGGGTAATTTTCCTAGAAATAGTTAGATCCTTCTCTCCTGGAATTTGCTTCATGAATTTTGCCAAATCCAAATTAGGATGCCGTCTCTAAATTATTGAAGTACTATTTAGGAAGTTTCTCACGTACCCTATTGTGCTTCCTTATTTGGATCTTACTAATTCAGATATGCTGTCTAATTATTTCCAGTTTGGTCGGCCTTCCACGCATGGAGTCTGATAGAATGTGATTTTGAAAGCTTGAATTATCCGATGCAAAACAAAAAAAATTGAATAGTGACTCAGGTGGTCCGATGAGGCTGCTTAAGTTTTCTCCATGGATTGGGATCTTGGTGTTCGCCGTTGCTGCATTCATCTTGGGAGTCATTTCCCATTCGTTTCTGCGAGGAGGGGCATCGGTTGCTGACCAGAACCTTGGGCTAGTTGTTGGACCTCTGTTGAAGGGGCCTGCTGATCCCCCGGTTTTTGCGTATTGGATTTCGGGCACTGGTGATGAAGGTCAGAAGATGCTGAGGTTGTTGAAAGCAGTGTATCATCCGAGGAACCGATATGTTCTGCACCTAGATGCAGGTTCCTCAGCTCTTGAGAGGATCAACCTGGCACACTCAATTCAGTCTGAAAGGCTCTTCAGAGCTTTCAGAAATGTTGATGTTATTGGCCAAAATTATGCTGTTGATCGAACAGGTCCATCCATACTCAGTGCAACACTTCATGGAGCTGCGGTTTTGCTAAGGCTTAGTGCCGATTGGGACTGGTTTATCACCTTGAGTTCTTCAGATTATCCAATTATGACCCAAGATGGTAAGAGTTTGTGTTCATGCATCATGCTGACTTATCTTGTTCTGGCTAGGTTGTAACCTTGACCTTCAACGATTAGCATTTCAGATTGCTTTACTGCAATATAGTTATTTTGAAACCTTATGTTAGCTAGAGTTAACAATCAGAGGTATTCCTAATCTGCTTTCTCTGTGAAAGAACATATCAAACTAATATGTGGGACGGACTGCCTCTTGAAAGCAGAGATTTTTCTTATCAAGATAATCAAGATCTTCTCTTTTGCATCTACAGTGGCTCTAGTTATCTGAATATTATCCTGTCCTGTTGCTTTAAACTCTGTGCCTGGCTTCTCATTCTCACATGACCACAATCTGATTGTGGCATGTAATTGAGGGTAACCACAGGTCTACATGATTAAACCCTAAATTTGATGAGATAACCATGCTCAAAGGAGGCGAAAAATTAGGATACATCTTGACATGTCTTGGTATGTTAAGACTCCATGTTAGCATGCATTTAGTCCTGCATCACATGCAGGCACTAAAAAATATTGGGTAGCTTTTGAGATATGGAATGTCAATGTCAACTCATGAAACATTACTGTGATGATCTTTTAGACTTCTGCCTGCAAAAACTCAACAATTATGCTTTCAGGTTAGAAATTTAAGTCATAGAAATATCAAATTGTCGAGCATGAGTAACTTTTGTCCATAGCATTAATGGACCATTTTTATGCTGTTTGCTCAGTTACCAAATATTTATATCCTGTGTGTTTCATGCTCCTATTTTCTTTGTTGTGATGTTTAAAATTTCATTGCTGTACAGATCTTCTTCATGTTTTCACTTCTTTGCCCAGGAATCTGAACTTCATTGATCACACAAGTGATCTTGGTTGGAAAGAGTGAGTCTAGCTCCAAATTTATGGCTACTTTTATGTTTATCCATATTGTTAAGCATCTCTTTAATTTATAATGCACCTTTTTGATGTAGGTATGACAGGTTTGACAAAATTGTTGTAGACCCCAGCCTTTATATGGACAAGAATTCCCAATTGCTTATTTCTTCTGGAACACGTAAAACACCAGATGCTTTTAAGATCTTCACAGGTATCTGCATTTGCCAAAGAGCGTATTGTAAATGTTTCTTCCCATTTCTCACCAGTGTTATGTCCTCCTATTCTTTGATGTTTCATTTTCTGTTTTCTTGAAATCTCTAGACTCATTGTTATCACATAAGCGAAAGCTGAATTTTGTGTCCTGCTGTTTAAAATATTTTTACTTTGGGATCATGTCTAGCATGAAGTTGTCTGGATTCTCTTATAATCCAAGTGTTGTCCTGATAACGTCAAGGTCATCAAGTGTTATATTGCTAATATTCTCGTTTTGGCCAATGGTACTGCATTATTCTTTCTTTGATTAACTTCTCATTTTAGTTAATGGTACTGTTTTATCCTTTTTTTGACCTGAAACAGGTTCTCCGTGGGTGATTCTTAGCAGAGCTTTCGTTGAGCATTGTATACATGGCTCAGATAACCTCCCTAGGAAATTACTCATGTATTTTGCCAACGTAGCCTACTCGATGGAATCCTACTTCCAAACTGTGATATGCAACTCTCCTGAATTCCAGAACACCACAGTCAATACTGACCTAAGATACATAGTTTGGGACAACCCACCAGGGTTGGAGCCTCTATTTCTTAACCAATCATATTACAAGGCCATGATAAAGAGCAGAGCAGCCTTTGCTAGGAGATTCATGGAAGATGATCCAGTGCTGAAGAAGGTGGATAAGAAGATACTAAAGCGGGCACAAAATGGAGTTGGCTTTGGACAGTGGTGCTCGGCCCAGCTAAAAAATAACGGAGAGAAGACGTTGAAAGGCGATACCTGTTCGAGCGGGGTTGACATCAACACCGTCAAGCCAAGTCCATCAGCAGCAAGGTTAAAAAGTTTGGTGCTGGAGCTCATCTCAGAGGAGAGCTTATTTTCAAACCAATGTAAAGTTTGATGATATGACCTGGTTATGATTTGGAAGTTCAGCAATTTGGCTCATCTCTCTAAAAATCAATGCAAAATCATTCATAGAGTGCAGTTGAACCAGCAGCCAGCATGATGAATCACATGGCCAGTGCTTGGGGCGCTCATCGGGCAGCAGGGTTCCACGAATTGAAACTGAATTCTTTTTAGCTTCCTTTATATAGATTTGTGTTATAATATTTTGAGACATTTTGCATTTGTGGATGGGGTGAGAGGGATGGAAGGAGTCATAGGCTGATAGAGGATTATAGAGGGACAATGTAGTCATATGTCTCTTTTACTGTCATATTGATTGTTCACACAACTTTTAGACACTGGATTCTTTTTAGAACATTAACTATGGTCATAGTTCAGAGAAATCAATGCCCTTGTATCACTAATAATGATGTCTTTTCAGTATCATCATCTTGAAGTTTCCATTTATTTTCTGATGGTATATTTTCATGTTGAACATGGAAGGATCCTGTTTCAGATAACTTGGCAAAGTCCAGGTCCGATTCCCATCTACTTTTGTAGTTGGGGAGTAGTTGAGTTTGGGGTTTTGAGATCAAGATTAACTCCATCAGGCATGATTTCTGGGTATGTTTAAAGATTATAATCACTACACAGCATTTACTGGACTAAGGGAGTTCTAGAAACCAGAATCCACAAGCAAGTTGGTCCATTTCCTAGATCTTTGGGAGTTGTTCTTATGAGATCTGCTAAGCTCACATAAACCATGGAAGTGGTCTTCAAAGGCTCATAAAAAATTATTGATGTGAAAGTTTCTCTTTCACTGAGAAACTTTATTGTGAATGCCCATACAAACAGCATACAAAAGATTGTTTATAAACGAACTTCTGTTTATAGTTAATAAACAGTCGGCAGAGTATGGACAAAAATAAATGTCTTACTAATCTTTTTGTTTTGGTTTTTTTAAAGGTTCATGATTATAAGTTCATAATCCCAATCCATTTTAGTTTTGGGTTCAGATCTACTAATTCTTTTATTCCAGTTAGTAAGAGGGATCTTGAACTAAGAAATAGACCTAGAAGCTAAAAGAGGATATCATGAGTAATTACAAGAATTGGGTTCATTGATATTCCTGGTACAGTAGATTTGATGGAATTGTTTAATGTTAAAGGAGATTGGAATTGTTTGATGTTAAAGGAGGTCTTCATTAATAACTTAATTATTTTTAGATAATAATAGATAGAAGATTTGACGGTGAATGATATTTTGGTTTTATAATATTACGATGATATGATAAAATCTTTAAGATATAGTAATTTCTAAAAAACTAGTGGATGAGATTTCGAATCTTCAATCTTTTATCTAATATATCAACATTAAAATTAATATTTTTTTTTAAAAAAACTCGAGACTAACCCTACTCTAAACTTATAAATAAGATGGTCATGATTAGAGGCCTCTTGAATGCCCTTATTTATAGAATTGATGGTCGATATGAAATTTTTTTTCTTATTACATAAGTATATATATATATATATATATATATATATAATTATTATATCGAAATATTTTTTTCTTTTTTTTATCAAAATGGGTTATTCATTAAAATACCAACTTATTACCTAAAGCAAATATTAACCAGAGTAGCATAAACAATAGAATAATGAATCAATCACAAAATGAAACACCAAATTTTTACATGAAAAATCTAATGCGAAAAAAATCATCGGATCGTAGTCCACTTTAAACTTTCACTATCACCAATAATGATAATAGGTTTACAATAAATCTTTTCCAAAATAACTAGATGATCACAATAACATCAAGAGTATAGATCTTGTAGAGCTTATAGATCGGTACCGTTAAGATTGACAGAGCTTATTATAAAAATTCTTCGTCAGTCAAAATCAATAAAGTTTAGTAGCTTGATCGTACAGTAAAAACTTCATAAGCTTTAACTTTCTCTCTATTATTTTTCTGTGCCGCTACAGACTCCATCGTTCGCACACACCTTCCACCCACACACGTCTCCACTTCCCTATTTTTTTATAATAAATCAGATTTCATCTCAATACCTAAATTTACTAGTCCAAATCCACCTATGAGTTGGACCCAACACCTATGTAGGCAGAAATGTATATATTGATTTAAAAGATAATTACAATAGTCTTTTTATTTTTATTTTGGTTATAACATGTATTAAATTTAAAAATCAATAAATTCAACTTGCACCGAACCTTAAAATTTAAAAAGTAAATGTAAATTAAAAATAAAAAATTGATGTAGGAAACTAGAAATTTGTACTTGAAAAGGGTAAGTAATTTTGAGGCAAGTTTTGACATTGTAAAAATATTATAATTTTTTTCTATTTGAGTGATACATTGAACTGACAATTGACTATATATATATATATATATATATATTCTGCTGATATCTTCATCTTCATATCCATCACCAAATGCTCATCCTAATATCTCAGCCACACCAGTAGAACGCAGTTTCTAATACGAAACGATTGATAGCTTTATCACCTATGTTTGATGACCATTAGGACAGCACAGAGAACTCACGACCACAAAACAAGTTGTGATCAGATAAGAAGCGTATACTGGCAATGGAGAAGCTTCATTTGAAATGGATAGTGGATCTTCTTCTTGGAACCATGCCAACAGTAGCTCCAAAAAGGACATTAGATCGACATGGCACGACGTGTCCATGCCGAGGACCTCAAGAGTTCCAAGTCTCATGCATGGAAGGTGATAAGGTGGGAGTCGGCTTGTCACCCAGACAGTGGACTGGAGTCTTCTTCTCACTAATTCTCACCAAGATTGGAGCAGCACACAGAGAACAGAGCCGAATGATGTGTAAGCTCTTCAAATACAAAGGAGAGGTTAATTCTGATCTTGAGTAGACTTGGGAGTAGAGAGCAGTACATTACAGATCTAGAAACTGAACTAGTACTGCTCCTCTGGGAGTTGGATTCCTCTTTCTTGATTAATATAAAGTTTCTGAAGATTGAGGTCCCCTCTCTCTCTCTCTCTCTCAATCATGCTTCATGTGGGTGGGTGGCTTTATCCATATCAGTAGGCCATAACTTCTCCAAATCACCCAATGAGGGTTAAGGCACAGCAAGTCGAGAGGGATGAAGCCATGAAGGACTCAGATGTTAAGCTTCTTGCTGCAGGTTCTGAATTCATGTCACAGTCCCAATGGTTTAGCCGCAAGAAGCGTATCAACATGTTGTGGTTTGTTCTTAATCATGCTAAGAAAATTTGAACTCACATATCGATAATTGTACTGCATGAAATGGAACTGGATAGTCACGACATAATAGTGGAAGAGAAAATAATCTAGATTTCATGTCCAGAGGTGTCTACAGAGAGATCTTCCTAGAAGAACAGGACAGGACATTGGAATCAATGGGAAAAGTTCCGTGGAGCATCAAGACATGTCACAAACTGGATAACCTTCGAGATATTTAGCGAACTATCCGGAGTAATATCCCCTCAGTTTCTACACGAATCCCAGTCATTCAAACCATCCTATCTCAGCAGAAACAAGACTTGTGGAGGTGAAAAGCCCCTCATCATTACTGACTGAATCCAAGAGAGGCAACGTATGAGGAAGATGAGCCACACATCAAATGGCAAAGCAAGGCCAAATTGTTCTTATCATCGACATCTCCTTACCAGACCCCCAAGGGAGACAGGGCCACAGCCGCACCTTGGTTCACGTGAAAGCCTGGTGGCCAATCGAGTTCAGGCCACGTAGGCCTCAAAATCTAGCGAGACCAATGAGAGAGAGCCATGTCAGGAGATAAGCAAAGCACCCCCCATATGTGATCCTCGGGTGAGGGAGATGACGGATGTGCCCCTTCCTGGCCTCAGGAACTGCTGCAGGAATCAAATGCTTAAAGGAATAATTTCTTAGTATTCTCACATCAAACCTGTGTGGTTGCATTCATTGGACATCATGTCATAACATCACTTGTTCAGCCACTATATATATCTTGAAACATCTTTTTTTTTCTTCTTGCAGATTGATGTCAAAGTTTTTTTTTCCCTTTTTCTCCACCAAAAAGACATAAGTTGTGATCTGTTTATTCTGTATTTGTTGATATCATTCATTTCTTAATATTAGCTCAGCTAATGGGTCAAAATCAGGTTGGATTATGAGTGGGAATTCTGGATGATGAGTAGAAAGGTAATAACAAGTTCTTGAGGCAAAGGAGACATTCATATTAGAATTGGATTAACAATGATCTCTGATAAAAAGTAAGAAAAATAACCAAACATATCATCCCTTCAAAAAGCAGTATTTTGAGTTAATATATGATCTTGAAGCCTATATGATTGTCACATAAAGCCTAGTTTTGGGATAAATTTGGTGGGTATCACTCACTCCTAATCCTTTTCTTAAAACAAAGACAATTAACATTAAATAATACATTGCTGCATGTTGTAAAAGGCACTGCATGGCAAAAATTACAGACTTTACTCAGAAAAAAAGCTGAATTTATTGTCATTCTTAAATGCTTTATTTTGTATGATGATAGATACTGAATTGGATGAAATCCTAAATGCATCATTTTGACAAGTGTCTCAGAACAAATGTGAATATGGAAATGGTATTAATGGATGCCAATACTACAAGTTCTTCCATGCCAGACTTGTTGCTCTGAAATCACCAAGTAACTGCAATAAGCCCTGTAGTCCATGTAGCTGGACAACAATATCTTAGGTGTTCTTTGTAAGCCTAAGACTCAGATCCTGATTCCTGCTTGTCTAATGTGCAAGTCTGATACAGTGACAACATTTAGGAAGGAGATCAAACGAAAAGAAGGCCTGATGTATTATATTCTGCATCAATCTTTTACTGTTGCAGTGTAAGACAAATGCATTCTTGTGGGAAATTGTTTATGAAGCTATTGCAGTGGTATCAAAGCAGTCATGGGGCATAAGAGTCAAACACAGCAATGGAGTAATTCCACAAGGGTACCAAATCACCAATGGCAATGAGAGAGCGATGGAGACGCCTGCGGTGGTCCAGCAGAACAGGGCAGCCCGGCTGACGACAGAGAGTTGTCGCTTCCCGTCTTGCTCTCTTTCTAAAGCACCTCCCACGCCTGCACACCCCTCTCGAATTCCTCCGCAAGCTCCCACCTCTGCTCTGGACTCTGCTGTTATTCCTGCAGCTTCTCAACGAACTTTTCGCGACTCTCGTGATTGCCAACGTCTTTGCCCTTTCCAAAACCCCTCTTCTTTCCTTCCTATTGTAGTGCTTCCGCGGATCCGTTGAATTACTGCTCTAGTCTTCGCCATCTCGATTTAGCTCTCAGGACATTCCCCTGTTTTGTTCGCTGAAATAGTAGTTTTCTGGGACGTGGTGGTGCTTGGAATTTGGAAGCTTTTTCTCCCAGTTCTCGATTGGTTTTGGTTCCATTTACCTTCTTCCCAGGTGAAATTTTCTGGGTTCTGAGACGAGCGGTGGAGTAAAGTAACGAGCTTTGGAGTCATCGGGAATCAAAACGTTGGATTTTGGCCTGCTCCACCTGGTTGTACCACCAGCTCAGTCCCCAAATCCCGGTGGTTGTTTCTGCCTTCTTCCAGAAGATAGGATTTTGCTGCAGCTAGTTGAGCATGAGTTTTGCACGGAATCCAATCCAGACTCGTTAGCTTCCCTCTCTTCTTGTGGTTCTTAACCCATCTAATCCCCTTTCGCGGTAGGGTTTAGGGTTTTTGGCACAATTCCAAACCTTGTTTCTGTTCTTCATTTCATTTTCTTCACCATTTGTGGCGAATCTTTTCAGATGTTGAGATTAAGACCCAGGTTGCTTGTTCTAAGGAGTGGAATTGTGTAGGGGAATTCCATAAAGATTCGATTTTTAGGACAAAATTGATCGGTTTCGGTCTCATACCCGTCAGAAGTGAAGAATTTTAAGGCCTGTAGGCCGTACAAGTACGTCTTCTTCAAGGTACCATGTCGTCGTGCCTCAGCGGCGGCGGCGGCGGCCGGACTTACGGCTTCGACCTGGACATCGTGAAGCCGTCGTCTTCGTCCTCGGGCCGCTCCTTGCATTCTTCGTCGCCTTCTTCCACCCTCTCCGAATCCAGCAACTCGCCGCGCGCAATCTCCATCAAGAAGGCGAGGACTCCTCGGAAGCGGCCGAACCAGACCTACAACGAGGCCGCCGCGCTCCTCTCCGCCATCTACCCCAACATCTTCTCTTCCAAGAGCCTAAAGAAGCTATCCAAGGACACAAAACCTTTCGACTCGTTCCCGGAAACTTCCGACCTTCTTCCGCCCTTCCCGGTCCTCAGCGATGCCGCATTCCTAATCCACAATCCGCAGCCGGAGATGCCGGCCGCCACCCGGCTTGAGCTCAAGTACAAGATGCCGATCGAGAAGGAGTGCACAAGCCCGGTGAGCAGTGTCTCCTTCGAGCCTAATTCCCCAGACCCCTTCGACGATAACTTCGATGCGGAGTCCATTCTCGACGGGGAGGTCGAGGAGAGCATCGATAGCATCATGGGGAATCTCACCATGAACGTTCCCAGCGAGGACAACAACAATGAGGGACTGAACACCTGCAATGCCTCCGTCAATCCCATGCTTCATAGCCTCATCGGATACAGAACGTGCGGCCGGTTCGAGCTCGGGCTCGGGCTCAGGTTCGGAAGGAACTTGCAACGTGCGTTGAGGAACAGGGATGAAGGTGACTGGTGGAGGTCACCGGCGGTGCCGGTGCAAGACCTCGTTCCAAACCTCAAGTCGGCGACGGCAGCACCAGCACCAGCACCAGCACCGGAGAAGAAGAAGAAGAAGAAGGCGGCCAAAGAGGAAACGGGTGGCATGAAGAACACCACAAACGCAACATCCACGCCATCAAAGGAGGCTGGTTTGGGGCTCAAGCTGAACCATGAGGAGGTCCTCAAGGCATGGTCAGGCCGCGGCTCCATGTTCTCCGACGGGCCTGACACGCCAAGTTCATCTGCCGACGCTCTCGTAAGCATCTACTCTCTTCCCAAAAGCACAAATCCAATGCAGATTGCATGATGCTACAAGCAACCAGTACAGTAGCACATGCATCACAATTCTTACTGTTTCATCAGTCAACGCTTGCATTTCGGTACTTCCAAATGAACACGGAAGCATTCCTCTGAATTCTTCTTGAATGTGAGTGACTGCATCCTCGTTGACATAAAGATGTGGGTTTTGCAGGCCAAGTTGGCAGACATCGATCTTTTTCCGGATGCCACTGGCGCCGGCACGGTGAGGGAAGCTAGTGTTCTCCGGTACAGAGAGAAGCGGCGCAGCCGGCTGTTCTCGAAGAAGATCAGGTACCAGGTGAGGAAGGCAAACGCCGACCGACGGCCGAGGATGAAGGCAAGTGTAAGCTTTCTTTCTCAACCTGAGTTTGTTCCAGTGAGCTGGTGTTGGTTCAAATGACATAGTTGTGATAGAAGCTTTGGCTTCTGCTTCGATTGTTGCTATTTACAGGGCCGGTTTGTGAGGAGTCCATCCCTCCTCCAGCAAGCAATAGAGGAAGAGAGCCAGTGAAACCACAACATGAGGTCATGGGTGATGAAGCATTTGCCAAAGTTTTGTTTGATCTTTAAGCTCTCAAATGCTTTTAGGGACATGAATGTGATGAGATTTTGTCTCCCCTTGATATTATATTTTTGTTTCTTTTTCCACTGTATCATTTGAAATCTTCTCAATGAGGCAAAGTTGAAAAGACTTTTTTTTTCCAGCATAAGGGTGGGATTCTAAATCTTTGTTTTAACAGTTGATTGGCCCATCCATAATACAAGTTGGCTTTTAGCAGATGAGGCATCAACAGACTCATCCTAGTTTATATCCAAGTAACATTTTTTCTTTCTTTCTTGTAGATTTGTTTGTCCATCTAAAATTAGGAAGAAAAGGACAATTCTGGAATTATTTTTATACTTAAAGAACATAAATCTTACAAGGCAAAACAATCCAACAATCATGGGGCTGCTCCATGTTGGTAGCCTGCAGTTTTCAGAGACTTGCTTTTTTCTGCTCGAGGGAAAAGAAATCGATTTACATTATTTTACTGCAAGGAGAGAACAGAATCAGGCAGCATTTCTCACGATCACTACCATCCAACGCAAATAATTGTGTCTTTTTCTTCTCGTTTGGACAACTAGATGCTCTTTAAACATTAAAAACAAAGAAAAAGTGAAAGACAAAAGTCATCCCTTGGGTTTATGTCATGGCAGAATAATTACCTCCCGACACTACTTTAATCTCTCTCTCTCTCTTCTTGTTTTCTTTTACTTATATAATTATTAAGATCGATTAGGATCTATGTTCATGAGATTTAACATAGTTTTACGTCGACTAACAACAATGTAATGTCGATGGTGTTCTGATTTTATGCTCGGGAATTCATGTAGGGAAAAGAATAGCAAAAAAAAAAAAAAAAGGCAATGGTAAATTCAACATGTGAAATGAAATTTGAGGGAGGAATAAAGATGAAAGAGTGCGGAGCTCTGTCCATGTTGATTATTATTACTCGGAGACTTGCGCATCTCATGAAACGTGTGTGCATCACCGACAAAACCATCTGTAGAAAGACAGGACGCCACCACCCACCCACCCACCCACCCATCAACCATCAGATTTATCGTCTACCAATTAAAATAAAAAGCACTTACATGTGATTACACCATCTAATTCGGTGATATAAATCCTAAAATCCATGTATTTGATTCGGCTTCAACACACATGTTTAAGTAAAATTTACTTGTGTAATTACCTTTTTTTTTCCCCTTGAAATGTTAACATAAAAATTTTATAATATCCAAAGATTCTTAATTAATTTTGTCTGATAGAGATATCGATAAATCATCTTAAAAACTTCCAACTCAGATTTCACATTCATCATTTACCCTTTGTAAAAACTATAATATTAATAATTTTGACAGTCTGAGGGAAGTTGAGATTTTGAGCATTCTTCCTGAAAGATTTCTCATAGCTACTGATGTGAAGCCATGTACAAGAATCAGAACCAGAATACTTTCCGGACAAATGAATATAACATAATAAGTTCTGGAGAACAATAAAGAGAGAGTTTCTGGCCCTGCTGTCTGCAGCTTCATTTGTAAGTGTAAATACATACACAATGTAAAGAATATAAAAATACATTGTCAGATTCAACTATATCTTTTTCCCCATCACTTGAATTAGTACAGCTAATGCGTTCTAACAATGGGCATAGAGCACAAGAAGCACATCGACTATTTCTTCGACTTCTTTGTTCTCTTTGAAACTTGGGGTTTTCTAGTTCCTTTCTTTGCAGATCTGGCGCTAGTTTTTGCCTTCTTATGCATTGTTTCCTGCAAATAGATGCTAGAATTGAAGCAAAGCATTCTCCCAATGGGGACTGATATCAAAGATGTAACAGATGCAAAGGATGGGCATGTATTCAATGCAGGTAGTTCATGGAGCAATATCATTCACAATAGAAATTGAAGTCCCGTTGGGGACTGATATCACGAAGGATTTGGCCCAACTGATGGTGATCCAACTTGATTATAATTCAAATAAATGGTGTAAGAAGATGTAGAGGATGACCTAAAAAGAACCTTATCAGAAATAGTACAAGGGGATTTGATGGCACTTAGTTTGACTAGTGATATAGTACTCAATAGAACTAGTCTCAGGAAAGACTTCATATAGCAGACACTAAGCATTTGGGATTTATGGTTCATTGGTGTAAATTAGAAGGAAGACCATGTGTCATTTCAAGAATCCAATAGAAAATGAGACAACACCTAATAAATCACTCCTTCAGAACAGAACATAAGCAACATATTAAATAAACAAATACCTATACAAGTGACTACACTAAGGTACTAAACATAATCAAAGAGCTAAGCACATGTAGCCGCACAAGTAACAATTTATAAAAAAATTTCTATATATTCACTAAATATAATCTTGAAATAATAGGCTATGTTGCAAAATCTTTATGTTGTAATTCTTCAATGATTGAAAATGTGTGAGAAACTTAGATTTTGCAAGTTTCAATGATTTTTTTTTTTTTTACCTTGGTCTTTGTTTCTGTATTATCTCCATTTTCATCCTTCTGATCATTTATATGGGCAGAAGTCTTTGCTACCCTGTCTATATCTTCTTCTGAATCAAATGAAAAACCATCCAGAGTTCCTGCAAAAAGAATAGAGCTACACATTATAAGTGCAATATGACAGGAAATGAGGAATAAAATTAATAACTGTAGTCGTAGCAGGCTAGCAGTGCAGTCAAAATTAGTATAACAGTGGAAAAAACAGTGAGATAGTCTAGTAATGTATCATGAAGATCTAAGAAGACCCTAGATGAAGAGCTACAAAATGAATAGGAGGCTTAGCCGAAGGGCAAAAGCTACTGAAGTTTAATAGATTAAAAGTTCAGTGAAGTCTGGAAACCAACCGATCAAAGTAGGCATTTCACATGAACCAGCAGAAAGGAAGGAGTGAGCAGCTACTTACGAGATATTGGAGTACAGCCTTAAAAATAGCTAAAGATTATTAGAGAGAAAGACTCATGCAAAATCCAGAAACTCCAAAGTCAGTGCTACCAAAACCCTTTCCTTATGTTCAATTTCTAATAATAAGTTAATGACAGAATTCTAATCCACCACTTAGCCATGTCATTTTAGTCAGTAATCATCTATTTATTCCAAAGAAAAAAACCATAACATGTATGCATATGCCTTCATCTATGGTATATAAATCACATATTAAAATCCTTTACCTTCAACCATTGTCTCAGATTCAAACACATTTGACTTGGGCTCCAATTGTATGAAATCATTCATAATTGCCTCTATCTGTGAAGCCAAGTTTCAAATAGAGAAAAAACATGGTCATATATGCAATACAAAGAAAATAAATAAAGATACACAAACGCTAGCATCTTGTTGGATTATTTGCATTATAGCCCATGCAAATAGATGCACCTCAAGGGGTACAGTCGGCCCATCTACATAATAACATATATTTTTTGACCAATAAATCAACAAGATTGGAAGAGTAGAATATTAAGACAGCAAAGTTATAGACACATGGGATTAAATTGAATAATTTTCTCAAAAATTGAAGAAATCAGCAAAATTATTTAGTTACTACATATTTTACAGTAGATGAGCCTCAACTGACATTCAACAACTCATGTATTTCCATATGTAATTCACGTTACTAAAAACGAGAGAACAGTTGGATGACAGATGTTGATAAAACCTTTTAGGTCACCACCAATTATGTTATTAAGTTAAGAAAAAAAAATAATGTTTAAACAATGGGTTAGAAGTTAGAAATCTGAACTATTAATATTGCTACTTGAGGTGGCAAAAGTGTTATAAAGATCAGGTTGTGGACTTCTAGTTACACAGAAGTATCTGATAAATCAAAAAGCTCTGAACTACACAAATCTAAGAAGCACAGACACAGACACCGGATACAGACAGCAACATGTCTTCTTTTTTTTAAATTAGGACACGAACAAGGCAAGGACATATGTGTTTTTTAATATTATATATATATATATATATATATATATATATATATATATATAATTTGATTAACATGAGTTTCATAGTATTTACACATAAATTTTATAAATCGAGCATTGTGAAGTGTGTTAATCAAATAGGTTGAGTACATCAAATAGAATTGAAATAATTACAATTAAAATGTAAGTATTCAAAATAAAGATTGAGTACATCAAATAATATTTAACAATGTCCAAGTATAATTGATATATGTTTCCTTGCAATGATCTTCAGATTTCTTTCCTTGCGATGCCGACAATCCGTCTCCACACAGAATCCAAAGCAAATGACCCTCATGTGAGGGCCACGCGACGATGTGTGCAGGAGCACTGTCATGTCCCACAAATAGAATTGAAAATAAATAAAAAATACACAACTGGACATGTGCTGGACACATGTACGGCCATGCCGACGACGTATCCGTGTCCAACACGTGTCTGACATGGACACATCCACCAAAAGCACATGTTTGTGCTTCTTAGACAAATATTATGATGTACAAATATTATGATGTAAGTGCATGTTTTTGTTATCAATATCAATGGCACAACCAACATAAAAATGATTTATCAAGTTTCTAGCTTTAGAGAATAGAAGTCATCAGAGACATTAAAAGATTGACAGGATAACATTGCCTCAAAAATAATGACAATAAATTCTAAGATGCATGGTTAGCAGTTTTGACAAAAGAATAACACATAGCTAGTTATACAATAACGACAAACAAATGAAAATGGTCATCCATCGGAGTCATATCAATTTATAACTGAAGGTGTGCCTTAATATGATAAGAGAACACATTTAAATCATTGGATAAATTTTATTTAAATTTTAACCAAGGGATCTTCAAATTTTTTACTTTACCAAGTCATAGATTGCATCAATAATATTTTACTCTAATGACAAACCTTTGCTTCTGATTGTCCTATGCTAACCTGAAAACAAATATGACAGGGAGTTAGAAAATCACAAATCAACTTTCAAAGAAGTGTGTTCAAATGTGTAACTACAATAATAAGATGTCCCAGGCTCAGGATGGGATGAGGGACATACAACACAAAATGTTCTTGAAGGAACTATTGTTGTTTTGTATATGGTCCCTGTGACATGTAAAACATGAGAACTGTTAGTTGTCCATCAAATAATATTCCTATATGCTATCAGCAGACAGATTTAAGACAACAAAACACATAGGCAAAAATATCTGATGTACAATTAGCTGCAAATACTCTATGGCTATAATAAGAATTTGTAAAAAGCTAAAAATAGAAAGTTTAAAGAATAAAAACACAAATATAAATAAACTTAATGCTTGACATTGAATCTATGATTCAATTGGATCAGGTCGAAAACGAGGTACTACTAAGGAAATTATTACATCAACAGGAACTTCAATATGCTTTAAATGCGGAATTTGGAAAAAGGACCAGCAACATCTTTAAGGTTATATTGTAGAATTTACACTGCTTTCTTTTACAAACAATTAAAAGATCTGTGACATTTGGAGCAAAAGAAAATAAGACAAATTGGTTGTTCCATCTTGCAAACTCCAAATCTAGTTATCTTTTAGTCATGCCTAGCAGGCACAATGAACAATTAGCAGATGTCAACCAGATTAAAGCTAGCTTATGTAGATTAGCATATTGTCATATTTGCATGGAGCACTTTGCACTGCAAATTGATAATCTGTTGGAAATGTTTAATGGGTTCAGATGTTAGACAACCTAGAGCATGCAATCACTCAGATAATCTGGAGGCAAATGTCAAGTTTTACTTTTTATAAACTTCTATGAAAAACACTTAAAAGGGAGCATGATATATAAAAAAAGCAATCATGTGTAAGTTAGCATTGTTTCAAAAATATCAATAAGGCATCATTTAAGTATTATACATACTACCTTTTAGGTCTAACATCATTTCATGGTTCCCAGTAGGACCATTTGAAATTACTATACGTCCAACAGAACCCACATCTCCACTTAGATCTATGGAGTCTCCATCACATTCAATGAGTGCCTGAGTGCAAAAACATGTAATTAATAAAACATGAAATAGATCAAATGCAATAAGCCTTATCAAAATCAATTTGTGTACATGAACGTAAGCAACCTGTTATGTCACTGTGTGAAACCCATAGATCTTAACAGATATAAAATAACTAAGTTTACAATGTAATTTGATTAAAGATTGAGTTAAATAACTACTCCATGAATAGTTTGTCGCATAAGACAGATATCTTACTTAAACCAAAATGGTGATTTGTGATCCTGAAGGATCAACTATCATTCATAAATTAGAGCATCCTATTTAGGAGCTAACATGTCATGTAGTAACAAAAACCTTAGATATTAAACATCCTATATGCAAAAATGAATAAAATATACCTTGGATCGTTGGACTTTGTCTGGTAACATCAAAGGTAACCTAGAGGAAACCTGAAATACACAAGGCAATTATAATCTTCATATTGTTGGAAGAGGAAAACTAGAAAAGCATTAACAAACAGGAAGAAGCAGGAATACATGATAAATCCCATATTGTTTGATTTCTAGAACGGTAAAAACTTATTAACTTTATGGAGGACTCAAATTCATAATCAGTCATGTAAGCAATGTCATTAATATGCTTCAGTAAAACAGCAAAAAAACTGGCATGATGAAAGTATGGGTACCAGAATGAAGTAAAGCGAGAACTTTACTTCACCTGAAATCAATTCAGGTAAAAAAGAAAAACAAGAATTGGCATCTTACAGGAGGTCCTGCAGGCTTCCTTCGTATTATATCTTGCTCAGCTGTACCCTCCTCATTCACATCCAAGGCATCTATTTTTTTTTACCATATGAAGCAAAATCAAAGGTCAGCAAACAGCAGTAATTGAGACAAAAAATAATAGGATTCGTGCTTTGTGATGTACAGAGTGGATATTGTTGAAATTATGTGAAAAGGAAATAAAAACGTTTCAATTTTTAGCAGCAAAAAGAGCATTTTTAATTTTACCTTGGCTTAGAATTTGATCATTTTCAGTTTCTAAATTTGTTGGTTTCTTAGTCTCAATAAAAACACTGTCTTCACCACTATCAATTTGGAAGGTATCCTGCTGTCTCTGATGTCTGCCTGGTTCCTCTAAATCTAAACAAGTAGACTTGGTTGGGCTTTTTTCTGATGATGAATCAGATCCAGACGATAGTGTCACAATGGTCCTGCTTGGTGGCTGCTCAAAGTGTTCAACACATCAAACAAACATTCATGGACTTAAGATAGGATGCAAACTTTAATACATAGGAACAAGTATTCAGTGAAAATTAAGCCTCTCAAACTGTCATTTCAGCTCAGAATCTTTTCTTTAAAATCAAAATAAGTCCAACTGACCTCGCCAGTCTCTGAGATCAGATACAAGGTGCAAATTGGCATTACTAAATCACTAGTATCATCAAGCCATCAATATATGACTTATCAGAAAATTAAGAAAAATATTAAAAACAGTGGCCTAGTGCACAATAGTTTCACCAATGTGGGGTTTGGGGAAGATTACATGGTGTGACCCTTCATAGAGGGGAGATTGCTTTTGCAACTTGTAATGTTGTCACTGAGATGGCAAAAGAAGCAACCTTTTTATGACACCAAAGCTTGCCTTCAAAAAAAAGATAAAGCTAGCTAATGTAAAGATCATTTACCATATGCTTATATAACAAGCCAAAAAAATCAAGTTCAATTCTCTGCAGATACAAAAATGTGACTGCTACACCAAAATATTTTAACATGGAATTTCGGGGACTTAAATTTTTCAATGTTATAGGATCAAAAAAAGAGGGGGTGGAGCCAAAAAGTAATGATGAATTTCAATGACATAAAGAAAAAATCTTAGAGGTATCGCAAACAGATGATAGCCTAAACAAACTTCCGCACAACACAATACATAAATCAAGTCAAAGAGAACACTGGCCAAAAGAAAGCAGCACCGAAACAATGGTACCACTTCATTAAAACAAAAAGCTTCTTAGCTTTCTTATTATTAAGGTGATCTAATGCAGCAACTGATTAGATTAAACTAAAACTAAGATCCATTGGTTCAAATTCTGATGAACTTAACATCAAGCACCAAACCATCAGAACGAAACAAAAATTAGGCAAAGCTACATAAGCATTCAACCAAACAGGTTATAGGCAGGCAAAAGCTCCCGACTCAACAAGCAATGATCCGCTAACCGAGGAGACATACTAGGACAAGAATACCCCAAAACTAAAACAGCATCAAGTTCGAGGTGCAATCCACTTCACCAATGACCAAAAATGAGTTCATAGATTAAAGATATTGCAGTGACGCTCGTAAAAATCATTCAAAACTAAGAAATCGTCACTAGAACCAAGCATACAAATCGGATCTTTAGTTCCCATCTCACATTTGCTAGCTTTCATCGACATAAAAAGCGAACCACGAACAAAACAACAGCAGATGCGAGCAGATCACAGAGAAAGGAGAAAGAGATCGCAGTAAAACGCACCTGGAACTCCCGCAACCAATCGGGGGATCCCTCGCGGGATTCGCTCATGGCTGTCCGGCGAGGAGGAAAAGGGTTTTGCCGCTCTTCCCTCTCGCTTCGCGGCTCTCTTTGTGGAGCCCTTTTGGTCGCAGTGGCTCGAGTCCGAATTCGATTGCGGATGCGGATGCGGATGCGGATGCGGATGCGGATCTCAAAGCAGAAATCACATTTGATAGATCCCAAACATACTGCAGCAGTAAATGCCATACATTTATCTTTTAATTCCTTTAATATTATAACGTAAAATGATCGAACATACAGTTAAAGTCTATAAATATTCTTAAACTTTTCAGATTATCAATCACTTGATTTAAAATATTTATGAGTTTTTTCTCCATAGTTTAAAATTTTGGGATTATTGATCGATTTATTTAAATTATTTATGATGGTGTCAAAAGATCATGAATTCCACAACAATATCTTTTTATTTCATCCTGTATTTGATTTAAGTATATTTATGCAATATTCATGATTTTGTTTATTGGGTCTAAGACTACACATTAGAGCATATCATTTTTCTAATCACATAAGCCTTTGGGATTGTTGAATATTCAATTAAAATCTTTATTACATTTTTTTATTATTATAATGAATACAATCAGTTTTTTCTCTCATTCCCAAAAGACAATCATGTGTCCTATTTGCAGAATTGAAAATAAAATATTAGTGAAGAAATCATCCCATCTAAATGTCTAATATCTGTGTCTACTTTGGAATGTTGTAATTTACAAGAATAGCTGAACTGACTTTACTTTGGAATTTAAATCTAGTAAAATCAAATTCTGAGGGTACAATTCATATTGAGGAATTTAATTTGACACCAGTTTAGCCTACAGATCAAAGATCTGCTCAGTTTTTGTTTTGGTTGATTCGAAAATGCTCAACTACTATATTCATATAAGTTTATCTTGGCAAAAAAAGTTACTGGATAACATTTTATTTTTAACTTCATTAATACTCTGTATGTATGTATGATTAAGATAGGATATTATATTTAAATTTTTATTATTGCTATAGATATAAGTGTAAAAATTAAAGCATGCTAATTTACTAAACATAATAAAAAAAATTTTGCATATTATTTTTTATACTTATACATAATTATGATAATTAAACAAAAAAACATAATATAACATATCTAAAATTTATATACATAAAATGCCCACAGCTCATTGTTTATATTTGCATTGATAAAAATGACTTACACGTACTCACTTTACAAAATATGATCTATAGTAAGTAATCATTTAATAAGTATAAATCTTTATAACTTTATAAGTGAACAATTATCATGTCATAATTCATATATATAACATTTTAATATTATTAGTATTAAATAATTAACAATAGACACATCATCTTATAACCTCTTCAACAAGCATAATTCTATAACATAGTATATATATAATAAAAAAGTAAAATTTTAAATCAAAATAATTCAGAATGCTTATATGTACATACAATAAACATAATAAATTTATAGACTTCTATTTCATATAACATAACATGTATATACATTCTCACACAGCAAATCATCATAATATATACATGCACTCTCACATCACATATAATCATATATATATACTTCGATAATGTATGCATAAACTTATATATTATATGTTATTGTAATATATACATATACTCTCATACAACATATCATAATATATGTGTATACTCCCACACTACACATCATAGCATATACATATATTATATATCATAATATATTCGTTTACTCCTACACCACATATTATAGAAAACACATGTACTTTCACTTCGTTCGTCATTATATATGTATGCATACAATATATTTTTTGTTGCAAATCATATATTTTTATACTTATAAAATATATGCATTCATATTTAGCTCATGTCTGACTCATGAGATTCAAATCATTCAAAATATATTTTTAAAAATATATTATGAATATAATAATTTATATGATAATAATTTTATAATATTAAATTTATACTTATCTAATTATACTCAAAAATAAAAATATCATTAAAAAACTATATTTCTTAATAATTGAGTATACTAGGAAGCGATACACCTATCAAATTAGGAGCATAGAGTTATGAAATATCTTAATTAAGAATACTAACTCTTTAATTATTAATTTAAAATAATTTATTATAATAATTCATAGAAAATTGGATAAAATCTCTCATAAAATAATCTATACTTAACTTAAAATTTATCTAAATTTTATCATTATTTTTTTAATAATTCACTCTATAATCAAATAAACTAGTTAGTATCAATCAAACTACTATATAATTTTATAAAGAAATTTTATTTCACTATTTTGGCTAACCAAATGATCCTAAATTATCTTTAAAATTTATAAAAATTAGAGATATATAAAACTAAATATACACCAAATTTTAACTTAAAATGAAATCATTCGAAGGCTAAACTACCATTCTAATTCAACTACCAATACATATTCTATTATGCTCAACTAGGTTAAGACTATTTGAATTTATAAACCTTATATTTTGATGCACATAAATTATATTCACTCAACTCCAATCTCACGTAACCCTAAGGTAACATTCTAAAATATATCAAAAGGACAAAGCCTAATAATATATCTAAGTAGGTCAATTTAGCTTGAATAGAAACTCTTTTTGAAAAATAGAAGATTTTAAGTAACTCAAATCGGGATAGTAATAACTTTATGCACTAATCTAAGATCATAAGAGATTCATACAAACCAAAAATCAAAGATAAATTCAAAGTTTAGGTTACTCAAAATCAGTTGAAAAAAATAGCTTGTAAACTATAAAATTGAAACCCTAGGTATAGTAATGGAAGAATTAGATTTTTGTACCTTAATCTTTTTTAGAGGCAAAGTTTCCTAACTCCCATGAGTAAAATTAAAAGAATGACTAAAGAAAGAGAAAAAGGATCATGGGCTATCAGGTTAGTAAAAAGGATGATACCAAAATAAGATAAGATGGAGGTACTTAAAAGGTTACCTTGAGGTCCAAGATTTAATCTCATTTGATATTATGTTAATTTTTTTAACTAATATAATTATAAAATTATAATAACTTTAATTAAAACTAATTTGGTTTGATAAATGTGACATTTTTTTATCTATACTCATCCTTCAATGTCACTTAGTACCTCAATATTTTTTATATAACACTTATCTTTGATTTATATTTTTATGTAATTTTTTATTACTCCATCCATACTTAAATAGCTTATTATCCTTCATATACATAAGGTTTAAAATTTAAACTTTCTTATTTTAATCACGTTCAAACCCATTCAAGCCTTGAGATTCACTTAAGTCCGTTACAATTCAATCGCCACATATAATCATTATATACATATTTATTACTATAACTTAGCCTCATATTTAAATCTACTAGTATACTTAAGCTTGTTATGCTAAAAGATCATGTCTCTTTCATTGTAAAATATACTGAAAATAAGCATTTACTCTTACGTATGCTCACCTATTATTTTGTAGAGCACTAAAAATAATATTTTTGAAAAACATTAACTTCAACTTTAAAAGTAAAAAATATGATCATGTAATTTATAATATGTATAAAGTATAGATATCATAAATCATATCACTATATATATATATATATATATATATATATATATATATATATATATATATATATATATATAATTTATGCTTCTATTAGTATGTTAGTTGGAAGAGATGGGAAAAATATTTGTGACTGGAAAATTTCTTTGATGCTTTCTATTGAAGTTCTCTCAAATTGTTTTCAAAACGAAGTCAGTTGACTCGCCACATTGTAGCCGCAAGATTAATGAATCATGCTTCAAATCTATGAGATGTTTAGTGCTGTTTTCCTACTGAAAACCAATTATTTCTTTAGGATTCATATTGGTTCTTTAATGTAGCAATGCAACGAAAGCAACAAAAACAGTATGACCTTATCCTTGAATTATGAACTACTGTAATTATTTCACACCAAGCAGTGACAATTGATCTGAACATAAATGACAATCTATCAGTCTAAGTAGATTGTGACTGCACAGGAAGTTATCTAGAATGAGAGATAAAAAATTGCTGAAGTGTCTCGTAAGTAAATCCACAGATAGGGATAGCTATATGTCACAGTCTTACCTACTCTTCATGACCATTCTAATATGGTTTGGACACAGTTCCCATCTCATTCTCACTTTGTTCTGCCCTCCTCATTTCCCAAGCAGCAATCTAGCTATTGCAAAAAGGTAGAGGTTTCTGTAAGAGTAGTAATTCTAAGCAGCTACCTGCAGAAGCCTGTCATGCCTGCATCAGATTCCCCGACATGTTGTAAACTGTGGTTTACACTTTTTTGACACAAAATAATGATAAGATATCATCAATATAGTCCATTTAATTTTGTCTTGATGATAGTTCAGGAGTAGGTTCTCTAGAAGATGTCCTCAAAATGACTTGGTCACTGAACAAATCAAAGGTTGACATGGCTCCAACAAGTGGTAGTGTGCACATCCTTCTAACATGCAGATTGATGGGCATGGACACTTTGAAATGGTGTCTTTAGATGCATGCATGATCTTGAACAACTTTGAACAATTACATCACAGATGATCCACCTTGAAATGGCTCGATGAGGAGTAGTTTTCGGGTCAACTTATAATACTTCTCAATTCGACACGACAGTCGGCAAAGATTCATGAAAAATAGTTCTTGATCAATCTTCTACTGTTTCTTCTGTCAAGACTTTTCTTCTGATAATGAGGCAAAAGTGACTGAAACTTCCATTTGGTTTCCAAGAGAACTGCTCTCTAGTCTTCGCAGACATTATAGAATACATATTTTTCTCCTCATAAGTCAATTTCTTATTCGGTCTTGGCATTAATGTGCATCAAAGTAATTATTATCAGAAAGATTCACAAATCTATGTTCTGACTACTTCTGATGCTAAACGATTAAGGATTTTGCATAGGTCTAAATTATACAAGCACAAATGATTATGAGACTTGCTTCTGTATCTCTTTTCGTTTTACCATATCATAATGACATCCATTTTCTGAGTAACTTAAATGTAACCAAATGCTTAATCAAGAAGATTCTTAGTAATTAGTCC